AAAAACTAGGGTAGTGTCCTTGGAAACAGGAGTGGACACACACACACACACACTGGCCTTGGGCAAGGTAGTGCCGGACAATCTCCGAGTGGAAGCTTCTTCAGGGGCGTCCAATTGGTTCTCCCCGAAGCTCTCGTCATTCTCTACCTGAGGAGATGGAGATGGAGGTATATATACGTGGAATGTAATGGTTCTCAAGAGTGGAGACGTTGTTTAAGAACCTTGCCTTACATCAATCAGAAGCCACCGCCCACTGGATTGCGGCACTTCTGCTGGTCAACGTGCTGGTTCCTCCTCTCTCTTTACATGCTCCAGTTCAACTGCTTCTTCAGTTGCTCCTGTTCTGCCTTCAAGGAACATGCACCAAGAATGACCAAGCCATACTACTACATCAGGATGCATCGAACGAAGCATTCTGAACACGGGGATAAAAACGCTCATCCCTTGACTCTGAGGCTGGAATCGTTTTTTGGGGACTGACCCTTTCTCAGCCAGATCATGTGGATAAATTTGAGGGACTGAGGTTCGAATTCAGGCCTTAAAAAGAAACTATATATCCACTTCCTACTTGGGTGGATTATTTTAAGGGACAAACCCCCTTGTTAGGTACCTCAGAGGCTGGCACCCGGATATAAAGTCTTGGGTCAAACCCGAAGGATTTTATCCACCCAGTACAGCCCCCTGTCATTCTATAGGGTGGAGCAATGGGGTGCTGCTTAAAGAGCTATAGGCTATTGGGCAACCAAATAACCGTAACGTATGAATATGACAAATATTTGACATAATATGATCCATAGCAAGTGGAAGTCGCTGGGTTAGTAAAAGAACATCACTAGCCGACAAATTGAGGGGATGGCTGACACTATCCTGATACTTCTTTACTTCAAGCCCGGCTCTATTCTATTAAGTATATATACTTTTGGATCTGCGCCTAGATTTTCCATCTGTGCACAATTTCATGACATATCTTCCTTTTCATCCATCAAACCAAGCCAAAGCGAAAGGGCAGAAACTGGCAGAAACTGTCCACGTCACATCCCTCCACGGCTTCGGCCGACTAAACTTCTCTCAAGAACGCGCGCCACGCGTCCGGCGGTCATCGCCCTCACCTCCGCTTCCCACGCGTCCAGCTTCGGTGGAAAGGCCTGGCAGGGCGAGTGGAGACTGAGCATGATAGCGCATGATAGCTCAAGCCTCAATATGAAAAGGTATGAAAAGGTAGGATTTGCAATCCATGTCTTGGGGAGGTTGATGAATCGAGAGTCTACATCAGGGGAAGAAGCGCGGCGAACTGAGTTCGCCGCGCGGCTATCAGGTGGGTGGCCAGTGCTAGCTTTGGTCCAGAGATGTTCTAGAGGAATGTTCACACGTAGGCACAATCCACTTTGAACAGGCCTTTGGAGGCCAGCCTTTTTGGCCTTTGGAGGCCTGTAGAGCGAAATGGTCGAATTGCTACTAAGAATGTCTACTATAGAAACACTTCAAAGCAGCTTATCCAAGGCCAGTTGCCCAGCCAGGGCCAGTTGGACCAGAGGCGACTCCTTTCTGCGAGAAACCGCTGCGTTGATCTGGAATCTATCCACCCCAAACAAATTTGCCCTTTCATGCCCTTCCTGAATGTCCTGACTCCCTCAATTCCCCTTCTACCTACATGTTGACCATTTCACGTGTTTTGGTTTAGTGGGGGTCCACCCATTCCTCGCAAAGGCTTTGCAGGTGATCCACATACTTCCCGAGCAACCACTGCTAGTCGTGGCAACCACGTAGCTACAAAAAGCAGAATCGCGTCAAACAGCGAGGTGCCAAAACTCGGAGCCTCACGAGATAGTGTCCGAAAGTCCGTGAGGTCCTCTCTCTCTCTCTCATGTTTAACGCCTTCCTTCTAGATCTGAAAAAGATGACCTCTCCTCCATGTGCTAAGAGTACCATTTCAAGTGACCAATTAATGATGGAAGAATCTAAGGATTGCAACATGATTCCCATGGATCCATGCCTGATCATCCAGGGATTGCGAGGATGGATCTTCCAGATTTCTCGACTTTCTTCGGACGGACAAAGATGCACAGTCGCTCTCCTGACGACATCCGTCGAAGTAGGCCTCCTTCAGAAGCCGCAATCCCCCAGGGGTTGCCAAACAAATCCACTCCTTCCAACCCCACCTCCGGCCTCCTCTTGCTCTTCAGGTTGCCGATGCGTGGCCTCCGATGTTCAGATGTTCGTGGACAAATGCCCAAGGTGGTGGGCTCGCCATGGGCCATGGGCTGCAACACCAGCCGGGCGAGTCAGTTCGTCACAAGGATGAACATCGGATGAAATCAAGGATCAGTTCGTGGCGGCATGGTGGGCAACATTCGGTGCTTGTGACCTGGGCAAGTCTGCAGGTCCGCACGTGCACGTCGTGTGCAAGCAACATGAATCCAGTTCCGGAACCATTTGGCAGCATGAGCTGCATCTGTCTTGGAAGTGGTATCCTTTCTCATCCGGTTTCTTATCGACCATATGGATGGGAGGCTTGATGATTCCACATATTAGAAGAGTAACTCACCGAGTCAGTCATGTCCCACACATGCAGCGAGAAACATGGTGGCAAATCACCTGCACGTTCCATCACCTCAAGCGCCACCACCACACCAACTCGCACCCAGTCCACCAAACACGCTTCTCCTCGCGGCGTAGCGCGACTCCACTCGCGCACGTTGGACACGTCGACGTGTCGCACCCCTCTCGACGGTCGACGTCTCGCACCCGCTTCAACTGCACACGGCTCTTGCGGCCAAAGACGGCGAAGGTCTGGCCCAGCGCCAGGCCCAGCAGCGCCAGGCCCGCGCGCCGCACGGCGCCGGAACGCATGGGCGTTGGTGGGTTCGGTTCGGTGCGCGGTGTCCGAGGGGCCGATGAATTGGTGGAATGATCTGCGGCTGGATCTGGATCACCCCACGAAGCAACATACTCCGTGAACACCGCAATTTGGGAGGCTTGGCTTCAGAAACCGCAAGGGCGGACTGGGCCTGACAAATCAGGAAGTGCTTCCAATCCCCTCATCAGGGAGTGGGAAGGTTGAGTTGGGTCAAAGCTGGTTGCAGTTTTAAGACTGCACTCCATACTATAGGTACAGTAGTCAGTGGGATAGTTAAAGGTTGTGAAAATTGCCCGAGTCCCTACTGAATGCCGGCAGGCGGGCAGGTGGGGCAACTTTGAGAGATGAATCCGCTGGAGTGACCTTCCCATAATGTAAGAAACTCCCTGAAATCATCCTGGTTTTCGTGGATGGCATGCCCCCTTGGATCCTGGATGACCATGAAGGAAACAAAAACCAAACAGGTGGTGGAACCCACTCCACTTCCATGGCAACGTGACTCGGAGTGTTTATGTGCGATTCATGCAAACCCATGGAACTGAGGTTGAATGGCACTGGATCCAATGCATCTAGCTGTTTCTCCATCAGCCAAGTTCGTGGCCATCTGGCCATCTGGAAGAGCGCGCGTCGTGGGCGTCGTTGAGTGCACCCACAAGCCTTTAGCATATGTAGCATATGTTAACATTATAGTCCCATGGCATGAATGGCCAGTTCCCACTGGCTGAGTCAGGCTGAGACACACACATACATATATATATATATATAATTAAGATCTATGCAATACATATTGTTGTGATAGAACATGATAGAACATTATCTTAAGGAGCTTCCAATTGCTTCTCTAGATCTGGAGTCGGCTGGTTCCGAGCCTTCTGCCATCTTGTACTTGGCTGGATTTGTTCCACACATCTTGAGGGCAAAATCTTTTCTGATGGACATCACGTGCTTTTGGGGGTGTTGGAACTGACTATACTTTATATATATATATACCACTCTGCCATCTTGGCAAGGGGAAAGCTCAGGTTTGGCAAATGAACAAACTCTGTCGGCACTCTGGACAAACTCGAGAGCCCCATGCTTGGGAGATTCGGTGGTGCTTCGTCCTGCATGGCATACTCCAGAATATCGATCTCTACTAGAAGCACTAGAACTAGAAAGCACACAAACAACAACATGCAACTACCATGGCGGACTCAGGCGAACCTCCATCCCCAAGTCGAGGCCCCCATCCCACTTGCTCTTGCTCTTAGGCCTCCCCACCGGTAGCACGGACCAAAGCCCCAGAGTGCCAGGAAGGTGAGTGGACCCAACACGCCCTGACCGTTTGCAAACATACGCCACGCGTGCGGATCTACAACACATGCCGTGTGGTGGGAAAAGCTGTGGATCTCTGTGTGTGCTCGAGTCATTGTTGGATTTGATTTGGGGAACTCAAAGACTTTCTTTTGTACCTCCCTCCTTTGATCTTTTTTGATGTAGAGGGAGGTGGGAAAGCCCCTGACAGAAAATGACCGCCACATCAACAAAGCCCTGAAGAGTCTTGAAACATCTCGAAACGCTCCTTTCCCTTTGGGGATCTGAACGCCTGTCCTCAGACATGAGAAAAAATGAACACTCCGAAACATGAAGGATCTCGACCAGGGTCGCCAAATCCTCGGGTTGTCCGAGCAAATTGAAGCTTGGAACAGAAAAGGATGCTCAGAACGAGCTCGGAAGTTGGTAGTCTTCGGATTTTCGAGCTATCTGTTTCACCAACCACCGACCTTCAGCCTTTTCCACCACCAAGCAAATTCGGCGACCCATCCCATGGATACTTTACCTGGACCCATGGCCATGTCTTGCTATGCCTTGCTCCCTCTAGTGCTCCACTCCTCCATCTGCATGGCCCAGGCCACGTCTTCCGCTGAGTCCTCCGGCAGCGATCTGCGCGTCGGGAGCGGCTTCCGGAATGGGACTGGCAGGTTTAGTACAGTGGTTGGGGTGGTTGAAAAAGGGATTGATGATGTTAGGTGTAGGGAATTGTAGGTCCGGTATATAATAAATATATATATATATATATGCAATGGAATTTTAGCCACACACGAGGACAAACAACAAAAAGAGGGTTGCAGATCGGTTCACTGAGCCATGTCCCATCTGCGACTCTTTGTCGCGTGGAAACGAACACCAGGCAGGTTTGGCTGGCCATGTGATGCAGTTGAAGCCTTGCTCGACATCCTGAAGGATCAATCTGGTACAGGGAAAACAGATGAAACAAAAAAAACATCTCAACAATGGACGTGGCACGCGACGCGCACGCGCTGCGAGACCCTGCACTGGTCCAACGCTTCGCATTTCCCAGGCTCCGCCGGCTCCGCCCGTCCTCGCTACTGCGCTGCGCGCGCAAGAGGGACCACAAGACTCGAGCAGGAGCGGGCCTAGAGGTGCTGAGACATGGGGTGGCACAAGCTACAGCCTCTGATTGAGACCTCTACATTCCAACTCACGACACGTGATCAACCCCTGCGTTTGACGAACATGGCATGTGGGTGATTTTGAGCATAGCAAGAAGGACAAGTAAAGGCACCCTCCAGCAGGTCATCACTTAGCGGCAAATACTGGAACCCAGCATAGATTGATGTTGCTAATGGTACCACTTCGGATGCTCTCACTTACATCCTGGCAACAATTTCTGTGAGATGTGGCTTCACGGGCATACAGCCTACAGAAGAGTGCGAGTAGTCTGTTGCAACGCCCTCCTCCACGTTCAATATCTGTCAATGCTATGACAAAACACATACAGTCAGGACGTAAATTCAGCAAAAGGATAACAAATTACTAAAAACAATTCCCAAATTGACCGTGTCAAAACACATATAGAAGTGAGCTCTTCCTGAACCCTGCAAACCCTGCAATCTGACTCCAGGCCTACGCCTACGCGGTTTAAAGCCTTGAGGCTCCGAATGAGGCTCCGGATCCCCAGCCAACGGCCTGTTCTCCACAAACGCCCCCGGCAACTCACCAAAAAAGTGGGTGTCCTCAGTCCGGTCGGGAGTGGTGAGTGGACCGGAGTGGTGGTCGGACCACTCCACTGTGCTCGTCCGCACGCGGTAAGGAAGGGTGGGCTGAAGCACAGGGGGGCTGGTCTTGCCGATGTGGGTGAGGACGGAGACCGGCGGGGGTTGAGACCTCAGGTCATGTGTGGATATCTGGCTCCCTATCCGACCCTCCCATCACTGCACCTTCTTTGATCCACCGTGCTCCCTAGAACCCTGAAAATCCATGAACATCCTGAAATTTAGCATGCGTTCGAACCACTAGAGTCACTGGAGGAGCCCGACCGGGTCGCCCCGACCAGGTCTCAACCTCCACTTCATGACCTGAGTACGCCAAGTCTCTGGCAGAGGCGATTCCACTGTGACCACCTTTAGGCCCGAGCCCTTGGCCAAGCTCAGGCAGGCCTCGTGATCGGACAGCGCCAAGCAAAGCGGCAAAGCACGATATGTAAACTTTCCTTAAACGCATGTCAGTCAAATTGGAATCATTGGACTTTGGGTAGTTTTGGGCATCCCAACATGAATCATCATAGAATTTGGGATTCCCTGGCAACCCACCAAGCCTTTGAGGGAGTTTCCTCGATGAAGCTGACCTCGTATACTCAGCTTGCTGGATTGAACTCCAATTCACGCCTCACATTCACGTGTCTCTTGCATCAACTGCGCAACTGCACTCTCCAAGAATCTTTGCCGAGCTCGGGCTTAGGTTTGAGAGAGCCTTGAACTTTCAATTTCATTCAACCATGCCCAAACACTCCATGGGACTGCCATATATACCTACGTTGGGGTGGTTTGAGGGTCAATGTAGGCATATATGACAGACATGGAATGTGTGGGCATCGAATGGCCCACCATGGTCTTCTACATCAGTTCCCTTCGTTCGCCCAAGGCCCACCGCATCACATGACCCTCATCGCAGCAAAACTGAAAAAGGACTCCACACGGACGTCCAAATGCCTCGAATGGCCTCGGACACCACGGCGGACACCGCGGTGGAGCTCCAGTCAACAGCCCGCCACCGACGCTCGAGCTCCGCGACGCGGATCGGTGACCTCGGCAAAGACCAGGCTCGGCTGGATGGGCAGCTCCTAGCTCGGCTGGGCTTGGCTTGAGTGTGGTGATCGAAAAGATGGACGTCTAAAGGAGCCACCAATGAACGTTCTAACGCACCTCGGATGGAGCTATGCGCCAAAGCGTAGTGTGGAGCAACCGTATCTGCCTTGGAACAGTATTTTGATGTTGCAGGAGTGGACATGTCTGCCAAGAGCATTGCCTAAGCCTAAGGCGTAGTTTCGACTGTTCGCGCAAAGAATTCCAAAGACCAACAGTTTGGTGCTGAATGCCCAGTTCTTTCAAAATGCTAGCAGCATGCAGAAAAAATTGGTTGTTGCCCGCTTTGCCCGCTTTGGTTTGCCTTGCCCCTAGGTCTCCAAGTACCTTCTGAGCAGGTGGAAGTGGGGTGGGTACCTGAGGAAGGTCGTGGAGATTCGTGGAGCCTTAAGGTTTAGAACCACACTTAACTCATGTGGTCTCAGGTGCCACTGTTTACCCAGGTTCCATCACGACCTGGGCAACCTTCTGTGGACTCGTGTGTGAATGATGAGGTCAGGTCGCTCGTTTGTGAATCGAAACATCCCAGGATCATCGGGATCCCATCTGGTTCTCGAGAACCTCAGCTGTGGATCTCGATGATTCGGCCTCTCCTCCTTGCCTCTGGCGCCTCGGGCTCGAAAGCCTAGGTCTCTCCGCTTTCGCGAAGAGACCACGTCGTGGGGCGGTCTCGCTCGGAATCATGGCACCCGCAGGAGCCTGAGGTTCACCTCCCAAGGGCCTGAGGTTCACCTCCCAAGGTATAGTATAGTATATTACGCAATATTTAATATAGTCTTTTCATATTTCGTTGGAAAAACGCCCAGGAAACAAAGGTCGGTTTTTCAAGACCCACCGCATCCCACATATGTGCGGCAAAACGAGGCACCCTGCAGATTGGGGGAGAGTTTTTCTCTACACATCTTGGACCAG